ATGGTGTCCGGCATTAGTTTTTGCCGGCAGATGTTCAGTTATCAGTCAGGTGATTTGTATCACGAGATCAGTATCAGATTATTCAGTACCGGTATCAGTTATCGGTTTCAGTTCAGTTTTATATGCCAGGATCATGATATTGTTATTATATTCACTGTTTACTACAGTATGAGTCTCTACGGAGCACAGTGTATTAGTTCTCACGCCCCCACGTTAGTCATGTTTTTCAGGTTTCAGAGTCGGAGACGAGGAGTGAGATGGCGAGCGGTTCAGGATATATTTTCATATGTATATTTTATGTTTGGCTACACTAGAATTCCGCTACAGTTTTCAGTACTCTAAACCAGCTTTTGACCCGACGTTAGTCGGTTAATATATTTTATAAACCATTTTTATTATCAGATTAAAGTTAAAGGTTTTCAGAATAAGTCAGGTTTTACGGTAACACCTCGAATCAGTTTTCGCAAAAGAAATATTTTATTTATTTTTATTTAGAAAATTTGCGAAAAGCGCACTCTGAAATTCATGAAATAGCGGGGTGTTACAATACGCATTAGCCATGTCTAGCTTCAGCGCCATGTTCGGTGCCCGTTTCCAATCCGCATGGGAGATATCGTGGATCATCTCCTGGGCCAAAAGTATGTTATCACTAATGACCTGGTCCTTGACGAAGCCACTCTGGTTCAGAGAGATGAGGTCGGGGAGAATAGGGGAAAGCCGACCGTTAAGAATTTTGAAAATAAGCTTATTGGTCACGTTATACAGACTTATGGGCCTGTAGTCGGACCAAGAGCTCGAATTCGGTCTTTTGAGAATCAAGACAATAGAGGTAGCCGTGAAGGAATTCGGCATCCGGTGACCGGAGAAGAAATCCAACATTGCCTCCTCAACGTCAGGCTCGACTATATCCCAACAGACCTGATAGAAGAGGGAAGAGAATCCATCGGGGCCAGAAACGCTGTTGGGATCAATCCCGAAAACAGCATTCCTATCCTCCTCCCTGCTCGGGAGCTCGCAGAGGCCGACAAGGTCGACCGAAGGAGGGATGGTAGGGAAGAAAGAGATGGTCGGGGCAATGAGGGACCCTCTATCAGAGGTGAAGAGGGTCTGGAAGTGAGAAACAGCCGACTCTCGAATCTGAGACTCCTGGGTCAGGGATGACCCATCGAACTCAATACTGTGGATGTACGACTTAGCACGCTTCTGCCTAACGAAGCCCTGGAAGAACCTAGTGTTCCGCTCGCCCTCCTCCACCCAGCGAACAGCCGCCTTCTGCTTCCAGAAATCCTTCTCCATAAGGAGTCGGAGCTGGTACTCGGCATGGCAGCGGTGCATCGCAGTCCTATTCTCCGGAGTGGGGTCTAGGTCATAGGCCCACTCTGCCTCCGCATGCGCAATCTGAGCCGCAGAAAGGCACTGATGGAGGTTTCCAAAAACATCCCAGTTCCACTGTCTCAACCTACGCCGCAGTCTGTCGAGCTTCGC